TTTTTCCCTACCGTCCAGTTCAGTACAGATTCAATTGAGAAGAACTTATGTATATATGCGACTGTTACCACTTACCATCAGGTGGTCAGCTTGTTAGTATTCCCATTTATAAAAAAAAACATGAATATTTATTGGCAAAAGAAAATGTTAATAAATCACACATATAGTGATGGGGTCATCATTCAAATTACCGGTTATTATTTTTATAATATTAATGAGAAACCGGTTAGAAAGTCGCCTTTTGCTTTTTTATGTAATTGACAAATAAAGTATTCACGAGTAAAACGGTATTGGTGTGTATGTTTTCTATGTATATTATGTATGTAAAAAAATCTAAGTATTTATGTCAGTTGTCTAGTACCCATAAGTTTGTAATCTTGTTAAGTTATTGTCAATTTTTATGTTTACTTTGTTAGTAATAGTTTAGAACTTAAAGTGCTCTATCGTCGTCGTCGATCTCTTATTGTATTAATTTACTAGTAAAGGCTATAACAGAATAGCAGAGAGGGTGGACTCACTGCCCCCACTGAGTTATAGAACGTTTTGTCTCCTTCTTTATTTTTAAATTTCATTTGAGACATATAAAAATGATTATTATTATTAGAACGCTCTGCTTACCCTGAGACTAGATGGCGCTGTATTAGTTGTCCAGGGTTATTTATTTATTTTCCAAAAAAATGTGCCTAATAGAACTGTCCTGAAATATTACTATTACTTGTCCTAATTACTCAAAAACTTCTCCCGGATAGGGTAACAGTAATCGGAGATATATTTTTGGGAACGACCGGAAGCTGATAGGAGCACAGGATGTCTCGATCCGTCATTACGTGGCTCATTACTAATACTAAAGGATGTATGTTGACTCATTAGGAATTCATCCAATGTAAACAATTACGAAGAGCGGTTAGCATGTGACCAATCATTTCTACTTTGAGCGGTACAGTCCTGGTTTATAGTTTCCCCATAATATAATGTAATGTAAATTAAACTGTATTATCTGATTTAGCCTCTTAGCTCCCGCTGCACCTACAAAAATATCTATCTTGGGCCCCTAAGCTAGATATTTTTTACTAGGGTAGATTTAGGGCAGAATGGGATTGTTATCAATGTGGACTAATAACCCCATTGCTAACACGGTACCATGTCAGATCTACCTCCACGCAGTACACCCTTGAAACCATCTTGGCAAATTAGTGGTAAATTTAACGTGGATGGATGGAAAGTGAGAGGAAGTGAGAGGACTGCCGGACTGAGGGATGGACTGTGTGAAAGGTGATATGTATCAAAGGAGAGTAAGCTCAGATATGACGGCCGATAGGGATCAATGAAGAAAGAGGATATACTTCGCCGACTCCAAGTAATGGGATGAAGACCGGAGTACACTTAGGGTTAGGCAACCTAGACACGTCCCATAATATTTAAAACTACCAAACACAAACTATATGTCAAGACTGAAAAATAGCCCCGAAATGACAATTTACCCTAGGGCCAGTTTTCTTTATCCACAAAAGAAAAGACAATAAAATCCATAGTTCTTTTTAAACGTCCCACCGACAAGAAAAATAATGGATCCCTTCAAATATTGCTCACTACATACATTATTCCTTGTCATTCTACAGTAGGTATTGCATTACAATACCTTACATAACATTAGGTGCATCTGTGAATCACTCACTACCTAACAAGTTAGTCATTCTGCCTACTCTTTCTACTCGGATCTCTCTGTCACACGAACATTTACAAAGTTTATTTATTTTCTTATTGAATTAGAGTGGCAAGCTGGACCCGAAAATGATGTTTATTGCCTCAATATTGAAATAATACAGCGTTACTAAAATAAAGTGCTAAAGACTATAACCAAAGCACCTTGGTACATTGCCATTCTAGAGGACTAAGATGTCATGCCTCTTATCCTGTAATCTCACTGTCTATTTTAGCCTTAAACCGAATTACAGCTTACAGAACCATAGGTTTGGGTCTAAAATAGGTTATATTTTAGGAAATTTGGTGTCATCAGCTACTAGTCGCAGTCAACTCTAAACTTCCAACTATATTCGAACTCTATTTAATGTCTGATGACGCCTCGTGTCGCAATATGGGTGTAGACTCAATAACGGTCAGAATTTGATCACTAATAGAGGTAACGCTTCCAGCAGCGTTGGTCAGGTCTCTGCACTGTATATTTATGATCAAAGCCTTTCTTGATGAAAAGACTTTAAATTTTATCCAAGCTCTATTCAATGTAGGGTGATGACGTTGAGAGACGAAACACGTGTCGTAATATGGTTGTTGACTCAATCGCAGCTTGATCACCAATAGAGCAGGTCGTAACGCTTCCAGTAGCGATGATCAGATTACTAAGATTTCCGCACTGAACATTTATGGTCTCACACATGCTAATGGTAGTGGTGTAGAACAAAGATTTTCTTCCGTATGTACGATTTTTTTTTGCTGGTTCCCAAGTAATCAGACTACAATGTTGGCAATGCTTGTTAATATTCAATGCCACGTGGGCAGACCACTGCGACATTTGCTAACACGCTTAATGCATAACTATAATATTATAATTAGCTAATTGACCTTATTTATTAATCTGCGATTCGTTTTATTAAACCACGTATCTTATACTGGTTGATATTTCAACCTAGTTTTGAGGTTAAATCGGGCACATCACTATTAGGCTGTCGTAAATCAAATAAAATAAAAAATAATTTATTCAGGCATTTCAGCCACTTATGAACGTAAAATATTTTGTATTAATATTTTTCCCTACCGTCCAGTTCAGTATACAGATTCAATTGAGAAGAACTGGCAAGAAACACAATTGATGTCTTTTTTTTAAAGCAGTTTGTTAAGATTCTTATATACTATAGTTCATCGTAAATTTAATAGTATTTTAGGATCGGATAGGATTTTTTTAATGGATAATGGAATGGTCAGATCAGTTAGGACAACGTGGTGAAATCAGTAGGAATTAGAAAAAAGTGGTTTCCTACTGGAAACCACTTTTTTCTATATACTTATTTCTCTTTTTTATATCTTGATACATTATTAACAATAGGTGGCCCTATAGTCCTAGTCCTATTAACCAACAAACAAGTCCATCCAAAGATTTTTTTATGATAATGGAATGGTGCTCCCGCTTGCCCTATGCTGGCGGGGCACCAGTGGACGACGGTAAGATGAAAATGAGATCAGGTCAGTTTGCCGATCGTGACAAATTCATCAGGAATTTATCACGATGGTTTCCAAGGGGAACCGCGTGGAGATCAACCTGACATGGTACATTGCTTGCAATGGGGTCAACAGTCCACATTACTAACAATCTCCTTCCCCCCCAGGCCCACGTATCTGGCTACATTGTCATCAATAGGCCCACTAGTCCTATTTACTAACAATACAAACTTGTAAACCTTCGGAATACGTTCCTGGTGAATTTGTCACGATAGCCGAACTGACTGACATGTTCATCTTATCATCCTCCACTGGTGCCCCGCCCGGGAAAACCGTTAGCGCAGGCGCGCGTACTATTCCATTATCACTCTTAAAAAAAATGTTTTGGGGATTGTTGCTAACAATGTACCAAGATAGGTGGACCTACACACAGAATTACTGGAAAGCACTTTTTTTCTAATTCCTAGTGAATTTCCCATGATATCCTAACTGACCTGAGTTGTTGATCATGTCATCATCCTCCTGATCTGAAGACTGATCGTCTACAATAGTACGTCTGTCTCCAAACTGTATCGGTGGAAGGGTGAGATAGTATAGGCCAGTGAAATTACAGTGTACAGACATTTTAATTCTTTCAGAATAGTTATCCGTAGTGTCATGTATATAGGTGACGATTACAACTTACCATCAGGCGGGCCATCAGCTGGCCTATCATTCCAATTACATAAAAAGCTGTTCAAAAAGATTTCCTTTGTCTACACCGCGGACCGTTAAAAAAAGCAGAACGAATTCTAAAACTTCGTACAGTCATTGAACAGTAATAAAAAAGTAAAATCTGCACCAAAGAGATCATGCTACGTCACTAGTGAGCGAGTCTTTCATATTTTTTTTACAAAAATGACCAAAGTTGAGTGAGAGGGGCGTTATAGGTAGAATATCATTCTCTAAAATTCTCAAGTTTAGACATTTTAATATCAGTTTCTATCCCTTTTTGTGCAAAATTATTTCATAACTTTAATAAATGAATTTGTCACAAATATGAGAGTTAGTAACATGTTGCATAGGCTCGCGGGGCACCAGTGGAGGATGATAAGATGAATATAAAATTAGGTCAGTTTGCTTATCGTAGCGAAATCAAATCACTAGGAATTAAGTACGATGGTTTACACGTGGAGATCGACCTTGCATGATACATTGCAAGCAAATACAATGTTCACATTGTAATAATTATTAATAAAATATTTCAAATAACAACATATAAGGAGTCATAACATAAATATGTAATAGGTATTTAATTAGAATTAATAAAACGCAACTGAAAATTAATATTACGGTTAAATTTATCAGTATCGTAAAAGCTGGTTTTATGAAACGGTAATTTTGGTACAATGCACAACACTAGGGCTCAAGGACCGATCGAAGGTTAATACCTGTTCGACCCGTTACTGGTAAAAAGAAAAAAGTAAAAATGAACTTTTCACTCATTGGTTTCGTGCAAAAGAATAATTCCATACAGCCATCAGCTGATTTATAACATTACGTATTACATTCGAAAGGTGCTATAATTACATTTTAAGTATTTTATTTATCCAAACTCACACAACAACAAGGCAATATATACAGAGGAAATGTTTATATTACATTTATAACTATTTAATTCAATGGAGATTCGATATTACACTTAAAATTATAATTAACAAAATCATTGTTAGAAACGTAGTAGAACTTTCTAAACCATAGACGAGAACGAACGAATAACACGAATAAAAACGTATTCGTGGTGAAATCTAAACATATGGTAGTAACTGCAGCTAACAAAGGCATACCTTATTTTAGTCGCGCAAACAGATTCCGTCCAACTCCAATAAAAAAACACCTACGCTATAATATTACACTCCGATAATCGTGTCTTTTTCTCTTTAAATACATTATTACACTGTTTACTGCAAGTCCGGACAAGCAAATGCCGTCCAAATATGGGTTTAGTAGTGAAATATCACGAAATAGCACAAGAGCGAGCGATATACGCTCACTCCAATCAAAAACTAAAATGTCTGTCACTTTGTCAGCTGGCCAAAGTACGTTCTCATTGGTAAATCGATGCAAGAGGTACTAAAAAATGTCTCTATCTCGTTCTATCATCATCTGCCATCTCTTTCGCTAAAGGACGACCTTGATTCGGAATTAAGTACTTAAAAATGTTATTTTGAACCAATTTAAACACAAATAAGTATTTCAGAATCTATATTTTATTTAATAAATTACTTGCATTGTGTAGTTTCAAAATTTATAGATTATAGAATAGAAAGTAAAGTAAGTATATCAACAACTCATTGCTGTCAATGTGTGCATTCGGTAGAGCCTTGTCTTGATTGGGCGACGCACAGCTGTTTTTGACATAGAGCTCGATACTGATTAACCATGTCAATAATGCAGTTGCTGTTGTTAAATTAGTTCTTATAATGAAGACCATATGAGTTACTGTTGTAGCAAATTAATATGGTGCGCAACAGTTAGTAGTTTTGTGAAAATTTCACTAGATGGCACTACAAGTACGTTATCAACAAATCAATTATCTTTTGATTAATACAGATATGGTTAATTTTAGGAAATATATTACAATACTTAATTTTACAGACGTATAAATAGTAAATTTTTTACATATTCCCTGTAATGTATTAATAAAAGTTCTGTTTTGATTAATGATTTGGTACAAGTTAAACTTGATTACACTCGGTTACCATGACAACGCTGTGTTTTGACACTGTTATAATCCTACTAAATTAAAAATACTCGAGTTCTGTAACGAAATGTAGGTGATAGGACTGAATTCACTCTTTCCATATAAATATAAATGTCAGGCATTGATTTATTTTCTGTTTGTGATATAACAAGCTTATCACATGTTTGAAAAATTATTGATAATTTATCGCACAAGTATCACAATGGACTCTTTAGACTTATTAGCGAGGGAGGACGAGTTCAAGAAACTGAACAAACAATTGGAGAAGAAAACGGAAAGTTTAATGAAGGAAATAGAGTATGTTATGGTGAGATATAACTCATTTTTTCTTGAACATGAAGGTTGTAGAAAGTCGCAATACTCATTGGATTCAGCGTAGTAAAATCTTAGTTCAATAGAATAAGTACTTATCGTGAGGGAAGTTACCTCCGAACTTCTTACTTTAACAGAGTTTCCAGTAGTCTACAAGTAACGAAGAATAACAGATAAACAAATATTTCGGAACAAGATAAAATCATATAAAAACACGTTAATTACAATAATAGAGATAAGTTTTTTTTTCCTTTCCTTCCTTTTTCTTTTATATTTAAAGAAAAAGGAAGAAAAGTTATACATATACTAATTCCACAGTTTACAGCTTATTGCTATTTCATTTTAATTTAGATTTTGCCTCTTTTCTCTTTACATTTCCTTATCCTCTATTCCTATTTTTATTCTATTTGCTATTCTTACTTTATTGTTCTATTTTAACCGACTGTATAGTCACTGTACATAGTAAAATATGCTTACTTGTGGGGGAAAGGGGATTGTTAGTAATGTGGACTGATGATCTTATTGCTAGCAATGTACCATGTCAGGTTGAACTCCACACGGTACCTCTGGAAACCATCTTGATAAATCTTGGTGACTTTATCACTACGGGCTAACTGACCTGACCTTATGTTCATCTTATCACCCTCCAGTGATGCCCCGCCAGCGTAATTTGTTAGCGCAAGCCAGTGCACTATTCCATTGTCATCTATAAAAAATAATATGCTTACTAGTTATTAGTCTTTGCTACTTTAAAAAAATAAAATATATATAGATAGGTTACATGGATACATTTATACAGACAGACAAAATGACAATACACTCTCTTCAAATATTCAAACATACTATGTTTGCCATACCAGCCAGTCTAGTTGTCGATTGCAAACGTCATTCTAACAGTTATGATAAAATAGAATCATAGGCAACTTCTCTTTGTATTTTGTTTAATTGAAGTAGTTGGAATTGAACCATAGGAAACTATTTTTATTAATTTTTTTATGTAAAAAGATTAAAAAGATCAAATATCCTTGAGCTGGATGAAAGATTTCTAGCTAGCTGAAACATGGGGACCTTGTCAAAGGATTGAGATCCTCCCACGTTTAGTACCAACAACTCACCTGCTTATAGTACCAGTACTGATTGCAGATACCTAAATAACTACCTAAAAAAAAATTTTTTTTATGTAATTGAAATGACTTATTATTGTTTTATAGATTTACTAGCTGACCCTAGCAACTTTACCTGTGTCAGATTGTCTCTGCTTGTGAAGCACTTTTCATTGCAGCTCCCTTCCTATTGACCGTAGCGTATTGTTACAAACATACAAAATAAAAAGTTTTATTAATATTATAAGTGTAAATTTTCCATAATATTAGTTTAATGAACAGGACATTTATAGAATAGAATAGAAAATCATTTATTCAAATAAACTTAATTTAAGCACTTTTGAATAGTCAACAATTTTTTTTTGTAAATCTACCGCTTATTCGGTAAGTTGTCTCATCACAAGAAGAATAAGGAAGAAACTTGTGTGTTGCTCTTTTAAACAATTCTTATAAGTTCACATTTTACAAGTCGAAATGTGTGAATACAAACTACTATTATAGAAATAGAAATAATCTTTATTCAAATAAACTCATTACAAGCACTTTTGAATAGTCATATTTTGATTCTACCACTCATTCGGTACAGATTCATCTCATCTTCATCATTTCTTTAATGTTTCAAAGACATCCTGTACAAAGTTGTCAAGTTACAATAATCCCTTAATATCTCAGCCCTATTATCGGGATACTTAAACAAATACTCCAATAGACTGTTGCTATTGAGTGAAAACCCTAGTCATTATGTATATGTTATACATAATGACTAGGGTCTGCACAGGACACCAACAAAACCTAGCAAACTTAGACCTATGCACAACAAAAATCTGCAGATTATGCAAAACTGAAGAGTAAACGCCACTACACATCCTATGTGGTTGTAGCCCACTCATGCATAAACAAAATATCTCCCTTGGAAAGTATACACTCTATCCTGAGGAGATAAAAACCATCGCTCCTAAGAATATCCATCAATTCTTGTCCCTGATGGGTCTAGGTAGCGAACTTTGCAAAAGGGTGAGCACAGTAGATCTATGCAGGTTGCAGTACTACAGGTCAAAGTATCTGACAATAGCTCAAGCTCTCTATAGCCAAAACCCGATAAAAAAAATCTTAATATTAGTTTCAACCTACAACATTGTTTTACTATCCCTCAACAGTTTAAATAATTATTCTACTAAAGATTTATTACTGTTTATTTTCAGCAAAAGCAGGATTTCTTCACCGAATTCTCACATACTTTATCACCAAATGTGAACAAGAATAATCACAGAAAGCACTCCTGCGATAGCCAAAACCAAGCACCGCAACAAAACAGTACCCCAACTAAATCGATACTTAGAAGAAGTTCAAAACCAACAAAAAATGGTCAATTACAGTCTGAAATAAATTCCAAGATAGGAAATTTAAATCAAAACTGTATTGCTAACAATACACACATACATAATATAGACATTACTAATAATCATATTGGATGTGCAAGTAATTCTACAGGATGTCCAAGTAATTGTACAGGATGGCCGAGTAATAACACAGGATGTTCAAATAATTGCTCAGGATGGCCGAGTAATAATACAGGGTGTTCAAATAATTGCACAGACTGTACAAATCATACAAATCAAATGGCTTGTGACTGTGATTCTTTAAATAAATCTAAGAGGAATGATGATGTCGAATTCTTACATGCTTTTGTATCAGTTAATGTACAAGAGAAGGTGTTGCCGCAGTCTTTTTTAAAAGGTAATAATTTCATGCAAATTCCACATCTATTGACTCTCACAGTTTTGTGATAGTTCGAAGTTGTCTTTTTAACAGAAAGCAACAAAAAGGTTTCAGTGAAATCTGGTTACTATTGTAATTTAATTAAATGTAATAGACTTATTCCGATTGGCAGAAGACTGAGCGACCTCACCGTTCCGAGGATTTGTGTTCGTTGTGTGGCCACTGCAAGCACTCCAGGATTACGTGAGCCGCCGTGTCTTCGGCTTCAAAGCAGCCCCGACAAGAGGGACTGTCTGTAGCACCTATTGTGTACAGGTGTTTGTTTAAGGGACAGTGGCCAGTTATTGCCCCTATCATTATTTTGAGGTTATGCCTGCACACTGCAGACAAATGGCGAGCTGTCGTGCAGCGGATGACATCAGCCTCACATCCCACTACGTAATAACCACGATAGTTCTGACAAGAATGAAGCGAATGAGAAGATGCCTGCAGAATATGATTAATTGTAATTCATATTGGTTTCAGATAACATAAGCATAGAATCTATTTGTAAATTCTTGTCGTCGAAAATCAAGCTTATGCAAGAACAGATGGATAAACTACAGAGCACACTAGACAGTAAGGTAATTAACTAATTAACATTTAAAAACTCAGATGAAAATGTTGAGACTTTTTGGATATCATACATACTATATTATTTCCTCTTGACATTTTTTGGTGGTGGCAATCAAGCATACGGCACATCTGATGGTAAATGGTTACCGTAGCCTATGGACGCCTGAAACACCAGGGGTATCAACTGCGCGTTGCCGACCCTTAAGAAACCTTAATATACCCTCTTGAAAAACCCCATGCTGTAATCTCGTGAGAAAACCACGGCAGGAAGTTCATTCCACAATCTAAGTGTACGCGGGAGATAACTCCTCTGAAACCGCACTGTTCGGGACCACTTAGGTTCCAGTGTGTGGGGATGAATTCCTTGTCGATGGCGAGCGGTGCGATGGTAAAAGGTGGCTGTCGGGATCATGTCGAGCAATTCCTCAGAACGCTAGGGTTATTCTTTTTCAGTTAAATATCGACTATTATACTTTTTTAGATAGCTTATTAAATGAGAAAGTTTTATTAGTTATTTGTACGTCATAATGTTTTTTGAAGTTACGTGGCACTTAAACTCCAAGTACCGTTTAATTTATAAAAAAAAATCGTTTGTGTGTGTATTTTTTTTTTTTATTGGGTTGTTTGGGCTATTGTCAGATGTGTAGCACCTGTAGCACTGCGACCTACATAGATCTATTGTGCTCGCCCTTTTCAGAGTTCGCTACCTAGACCCGTCAGGGACAAGAATTGAAGGATATTCTTAGGAGCGATCGTTTTTATCTCCTCGGGAAAGAGTGTAAACTTTCCAAAGGAGATATTTCGTTTATGCATGAGTGGGCTACAACCACATAGGATGTGAAGCGGCGTTTCCTCTTCAGTTTGGCAGAATCTGCAGATACTTGTCGTGCATAGGCCTAGCTTAGCCATATGCTTGTTCAATTTGCAGTGTCCTGTGAGGGCCCTAGTCATCATGCATATGTTGTTTTTACTCAATTGCAGTAATCTATTGGAGTATTTGGTCGAGAAGCCCGATATAAGGTCTTTTGAATGTATTAATCCTGGCATTTCTTGCCAGTGATTCAGTGCTTCTCGTTTGGTTATTAATTTGAGATGTCCCAGTTTTAGGCAACGAGGCACACCACAGAAGGGTTCGGGGCCCAGTTGGACGGTTTTTGCCCCTAACTTGTGTGTGTATCACAGCTATTACTTATTAAGCATTCATGAGTATGGTGAATTATTAAAATTAGGTCGGAAGACATTCAACAAGCCAATTTTTTTTAATAAAGTTGTAAAGACGCTGTATTGGATATTTATTTAAAATCACAAAATTCGGAATAACTCCAAAACTATTAACTTTAGGCCAAACATATCATCATCATTGCCTTGCCTTTATCCCATTATTTGGGGTCGGCGCAGTATGTCATTCTCTTCCACTGCTCTCTATCAGTCGTCATATCTAAACATACTCTTCTTTTATTCATATCATCTTTCACACAATCCATCCATCTTTTCTTAGGGCGTCTCCTCCCTTTACATCCATCCACATTTAGGCCAAACATATATAGGGTCAAAATTATTGCATTTGAGCTCCTCTATCTCGTGCTGACGGGATTACGTCCGAGTTACCAGTAACCCTGTAGAATCGATAGAACACACAAAGAGAAGCGAAGTCTCGCCTCAAGCTAAGTGGCTAGATGCCTCAGAAAATGCAATAGCATATGCTGATAGTCTACATTCTCCCTAATTGACTTTAAAATTTAATCTATATTTTGTAATCTAAATATATATAACTCAAAGGTGACTGACATAGTGATCTATCAACGTACAGCCCAAACCACTGGACGGATCGGGCTGAAATTTGGCATGCAGGTAGATGTTATGACGTAGGCATCCGCTAAGAAAGGATTTTAATTAATTCTACCCCCAAGAGGAAGAAAGTTTGTATGAAACTTTGTCAATTTTAAACCGATCGGGTTGAGACTTTACATGCATATGCGCTAACGGTTTACGCGCATGATGGTAGAGGCGTATATATAAGATGAGCATGAGGTCAGGTCAGTTATCCCATCGTTACAAATTTATCAGGCATTTAACACGATGGTTTCCAGGACCGCGTGGAGGTCGACCTGACATGGTACATTGCTAGCAATGGGGTTATCAATCCACATTACTAACAATCCCCTCCCATCCAATAAAGATCATTATATTCTTAAATTTTTTCTTTATTTCTTTTTCAGGCAGCACAGTGTAAAATCCACCTGACGGTACAAGCGGAGCTAGAAGGCGAACGTATGTCGTTGTTGAACAATTCGCAAAACTGCCGGGCGGCGGCAGCCGACGCCAGGGCCAAGTGTACAGCTATGGAGAACAAATTAAACGTATGTAAACATTTATATATTATTATTGGTTTTTACGACCTCAGTGGTCTAGCGGTTCAGCAGACTGATTTACTTACGATGATCGCGGGTTCGATTCCTCGCACGGCATAAACATTTGTATTCATGAGTATAATTGTTTGTATCGGTCTGGGTTTTTTTATGTATATTATGTTTGTACATAACATATCTAAGTATTTATATCAGTTGTCTAGTACCCATAATACAAGCTCTGTTTACCGTGGGACTAAATGGCGCTGTGTTGATAGTCCAGGTTAAAAAAACAATTTTCCAGAGGTATTTTTAATAATATTTCAGGAAAAGGACAGACTATACAAAGAGCAGAGAAGCGAAGCAGACAAACTGTTGTCGGAAGTAAAGCGACTGAGAAGCAAAAATGCTAACCTCGAAGCGAAGTGTTCAACGCAAGAAGAGACTATTGAGAATCAGAAGCAACAATTGGATGTTGCGAAACGAAGTGAAAAGGTAGTAAAATCTATACATATAAATAAAATTTGAGTGTCTGTTTGTAATATTGAAATAACCGTTTTTTAACGGTACATACGCCAAAATAACATTTTTTTACAATTTTTGTCTGTCCGTCTGTTTGTTCCGGCTAGTCTCTGAAATGGCTGGACCGATTTTGACGTGATTTTTTGGGAGGTAGCTGATATAATAAGGAGTGACTTGGCTATGTTTATTTTAGAAAATAAAGTTAAATTCCACGCGGACGAAGTCGCGGGAACAGCTAGTACATAAATAAAATATCGCTATTGGAGGAGGCAGGAGACTGAGCGAGTATGACATTAGTTTACCATCATTACTCTCACATCTTACACTATCTCGCGGATACACCTGCGTTAAATTTCAATAAAAAAAATATAGCCTATATGTTATTCTGGCGCATAAGATATATTACTGTAAAGTTTCATCAAAATCCGTTCAGTAGTTTTTGTCTGAAAGAGTAACAAACCTCCGTATACACAAACTTTCGCGTTTATAATATTATTCAGATGTATCAACTATATTATTGTAAAGTTTCATCAAAATTCGTTCAGTAGTTTTTGCCTGAAACAGTAACAAACAACAAATTAGTGCTGGTTGGTAGTTTGTATTCACACATTTCAACTTGTAAATGTAAACTTACAAGAATTATTTAAAAGAGCAACACACAAGTTTCTTTCTAGTTCTTCTTGTGATGAAACAGCTTTCCGAACGAGTGGTAGATAAAAAACAAATTGTTATGACTATTCAAAAGTGCTTAAATTAAGTTTATTTGGAGAAGTGATTTTCTATACTATTCAATGCCTATTTTGTTGTAGGAATTCCGAGATTCATCCCGGAACCTCTCAGCATCCCACCAGAACGCCATCTGCCGACTCGAGGAGAGAGTTAAATTGTTAACAGCGTGCATAGAGAAACAGAAATCTCTCATAGACAATTTACGTCGGCAGAACGCCATCTTGCTCACAGAGGGAGCTGTAAAGGCCCTGGAGAGAGAATACTGTAATTTTTTGACACAGGAGTAATAGGTTTTATTTATGTACCATACGTTTATGGTATGGGTTCTATAGAGTCATTACGTCAATGCTTTAAAGAATCAAATAACCTCACAGTTGCCTCACAGTACATTTATGAAAATATTATGTATACAAGGAAATACTTAGATAGTTTCAAAAAATTTAAAGACTGTACAAGTAGAAACTTACGCAATAAAAATAACCTAATTTTACTTAAAATAATGTAAATAATACTAATGACATAACACCAGTCACTTTAATGAAAAGGCTCAAAATATGTACACACACACACGTACATACACACACATACATATACATACACAAAGCACTTACTTGGTTTCGGCCCGTAAGTATGGTATACGCCACAAAACGTAAAAAACCAGCAAAATTTGAGAAAATGAAACAATAGTGAAAATAATAATAATAATCTCGGGACAAATCACACAGCGCCATCTAGACTCAAGTTAAGCTAGCTAAAGCTTGTGTTATGGGTACTAGATAACTGATACAAATATATAGATATTTATTTTCGTAAATACATACATATTATACATAGAAAACATACAAACAATCATACTCATGAATACAAATGTTGGTGCCATGCGAGGAATCGAACCCGCGACCATCGGTCGTAAAGCGGTGTGTTAAACCGCTATACCACTGAGGCCGTCTAAGAAATATAATAATTGTGGAGAAATAAATTATATATTTAATTATTTTTATACTAATTTACTCTTATATAAATACTTAATTGATAATGACGACCTCGGTGGTCTAGCGGTCTAGCACACCGCTTTACGACCGATGGTCGCGGGTTCGATTCCTCGCACGGCACAAACATTTGTATTCATGAGTATGATGATGATGAAAAAAATATCTATGTATATGTATCAGTTGTCTAATGCCCATAACACAAGCTTAACTTGGGTCTAGATGGCGCTGTGTGAATTGTCCTAAAAAAACATATTTACTTAATTCTTTGGGTATTTATCATTTTGACTCTAATGAATTAGTGTTATTTGGTAATTTGTATTCACACATTTCAACTTAAAAATGTAAAGTTACAAACAAATTATTTAAAAAAGCACCACGCAAGTTTCTCGCTCGTTCTTCTTGTGATGAGACAGCTTCCCGAACGAGCGGTAGATTAAGAAAATATGTACAGACTATTTAAAAATACTTAAATGTAAGTTTATTTGAATAAAGAATTTTCTATTCTATTCTATTATTTTCATATTCATTTCATTGCTATAAAAAGTTGTGTGCTATCGCAGTTTTTATACCTACTTATACCCAAAAGGTTTATTTTGTTCGTAACACTTTATAGTACAGTAGAAACTTATACACATTGAATCACTCTATTCCTGGAACAGTAATTTGAAATAGATTTAAGACAAATTTTCGAAGACTACATAAATCGTTACTTAATTTAAAAGATGCAAACAGACGCTGTCTGTTTGACGGCGACTTTTTCATACTATTATATATAGAGAAACTAGCTACTTCGCCCCAGCTTCGCACGGGTGTACATGTATTATATATATAAACCTTTCTCTTGAATCACTCTATCTATTAAAAAAACCGCTTCAAAATCCGTTGCGTAGTTTTAAAGATTTAAGCATACATAGGGACGGACAGACAGCGACTTTGTTTTATACTATGTAATATATATATATATAGGCGACCTCGTGGTCTAGCAGTCTAGCACACCGCATTACGTCCGATGGTCGCGGGTTCGATTCCTCTCACGGCACAAACATTTGTATTCATGAGTATGATTGTTTATATCGGTCTGGGTATTTTCTATGTATACGGACGGATAGACAGCGACAGCGACTTTGTTTTATATTATACTAGCTACCCGCCGCGGCTTCGCACGGGTGTACATGTATTATATATATAAACCTTTCTCTTGAATCACTCTGTCTATTAAACAAAACCGCTTCAAAATCCGTTGCGTAGTTTTAAAGATTTAAGCATAGATAGTAGAGATGTGTCACTGGTGTCAAATTCAAAAATCATTTAATCATGTAGGACATTTTAGCCGCTTATGATCGTCGAGTTTTTACATTATAATTTTTCTTCCCTACCGTCCAGTTCGGTATATAGATCCAATTGAGAAGAACTGGCAAGAAACTCAATGTCAGAAATTAAATAGTAATGGTCTATCGTGGTATGGACATGTAATGCGTAGGAATGAAGATCATATCCTAAGGAAGGTGTTACATATGAATGTGGATGGTTATAAGGGCAGAGGAAGGCCGAAAAAGAGATGGATGGACTGTGTGAAAGATGATATGGTAAGAAAGGAAGTAAATAACGAGATGACTGCGAACAAGGATGAATGGAAGAGAAAAACATATTACGACGACCACAAATAAATGGGATAAGGAAGAAGCAGATGATGTGTCAACTCGAGAATTCTGCCAACTCGAGTTGGAAATATTCAACTGGTAAATGAACGAATCAAGTGAAAGAGCGAGAGCATGATTCTGTCATCGAACCGACAATGACATGAAATTTTCCGATCATTTCATATTATACAATTTTCACTATAAAAAAATGGTAGATGGTAGAAAATGCCTTTAGGTGTTAAGTCTGCCATATGTACTCGTTTTATTATGTATGATGTGCATTAAAGCTATGTAAATAAATAAATAAAAATATTTAAAAGAGCAACACGCAAGTTTCTTGCTCGTTCTTCTTGTGATGAGACAGCTTTCCGAATGAGCGGTAGATTAAAAAAAATGTGATGACTATTCAAAAGTGCTTCAATGTAAGTTTATTTGAATAAATGATTTTCTATTCTATTCTATTCTGAATCCCGGCCGAGTAGTTTTTTTTTTAGTTGATAATGGAATGGTGTACCCGCCTGCGCTAACGGTTTACGCTGGCGGGGCACCAGTGGAGGATGATAAGATGAGCATGAGGTCAGGTCAGTTAGCCCAACGTGACAAATTCAACAGGAATTTATCACGATGGTTTCCAGGGGGAACCGCGTGGAAGTCGACCTGACATGGTACATTGCTAGCAATAGGATCATTAGTCCACATTACTAACAATCCCCTCCCCCCCCGGGCGAGTAGTTAGCTATACACATATTTTTTTCAGACTACTCTAATGCTGTTGGCCGCAGCTGGCCTTTAAACCTTCACCGGACGATAGAGGCGAGTGCAGATGGCACTCCAAACCAAAGGAAGGACTTATGGGGCGGCTGAAGGCCAACTCCAGCCTGACGGATACGAGTTTAGTCTGAGGGCACCGCTAGGGATTCGAACCTCGGCTCAGGCCGTCGTAATATCGATCCCCGTTTGAATCGGAAAGGGGATCGATCGAAGGGGGCAAAAGAATGTATTAGAGATATATAGATTGGTCATAAACAGTATAATCATAGTACTATATAAATAAATTACTCATATATATGTTACTGAATCATATAGAATTCTAGCTATTGTATTGTTTATCAGCTGCGGTTTCTAGTGTCATGTGGTTTCATAATCATAACACGTTAGACCAGCTTATCACTGCTTCTCTGAGTCCGTACAATAAGTAAGGTAACCACAATATATGTAAAATAGGTATTTATCTATACACATAAATAAAATTAGTGTGTCTGTTTGTAATATTGAAATAACCGTTCTTTACTACATGCATATGAATATAAATACGGTACATCAAAATAACATTTTTTACAATTTTTGTCTGTCTGTCTGTCTCTCTGTTTGTTCCGGCTAATCTCTGAAATGGCTGGACCGATTTTGACGGGACTTTTATTAGCAGGCCTTAGCTAATGTAATAAGGAGTAGCTTAGCTTAGAAAAATAAAGTTAAATTCCACGCGGACGAAGTTGTGGGAACTGCTAATTATATAATAATTTTGAATAATTCACACAGCGCCATCTAGTCCCAAGGTATGTAAGTAATAAGTAATACATCATTACATAGTATAAAACAAAGTCGCTGTCGCTGTCTGTCCCTATGTATGCTTAAATCTTTAAAACTAAGCAACGGATTTTGAAGCGGTTTTTTTAATAGATAGAGTGATTCAAGAGGAAGGTTTATATGTATAATACATGTACACCCGTACGAAGCCGGGGCGGGTTGCTAGTGTAAGTATATTTATCAGTTGTCTAGTACCCATAACACAAGCTTTGCTTAGCTTGGGACTAGATGGCGCTGTGTGAATTGTATGAGATATTATTTTTTATTTATTTATTTATTTATAAAAACTTCATGCACAAATATAAAACAAAATAAAGGGGCATATGGCGGACTTAACACCATAAGGCATTTCCTCCCAGTCGACCATAGGGCAAACAGAGATTAGTGGGCGGTGCATTTAAGTAAATAATAACATGAAATAAATAATAAAAGGAGGAAGGTACAATTATAATCAAATTCATAAATTAAAATATATATATCCAACTATATACATACTTCAATAAGAAGGTACAATTATAATCAAATTCATAAATTAAAATATATATATCCAACTATATACATACTTCAATAAGAATATATAAATATAAATATATAGAATAGAATAACATTTATTACATCACACATCTCAACACAATAAAAACGATGCCGACAGCTGCATATAAATTATTATATAAGATAAACGTAAATAAAAACAATTCATTAAATTAGAGATGAAATCATTATATACAAAGAAAAAAATAATAATAATAAATAAAAGAACAACATAGTAACAAGCAAATAAATAATAATATAATATAATAAATAATAATATATATATCCAACTACATACATTATTATTCTTCATATTCGTGTTGCATAAAATATATTATAGTGAGTAGCATATATTATTGGATTTCTATGTACTGACCTTGGTGATGTAACGGTTAACACACAGCCGCACCTCCAACGTTCGCGGGTTCAAACTCCGCATAATATAAATATTTGTTGGTATTCATGAATTTATCTATTTGTTTTAGTGTATTACAGACTAGCCGTTCTTGCGACTTCGTGCGCGTGAAATTTAACTTTAAGAAAAGTAAAAGTAGCCTAAGTTACTCCTTATTACATCAGCTACCTGCCAAAAAATCCCATCAAAATCGGTCCAGCCATTTTAGAGATTAGCCGGAACAAACAGACATACAGACAGACAGACAAAAATTAAAAAAATGTAATTTTGATGTATTTGAAGTATTTATATTCATATGCATGTAATAAAAAACGGTTATTTCAATATTACAAACAGACACTCCAATTTTATTTATATGTATAGATTTAAGGTTAGTAAAGCGCTAAACTAAACTACTAGATCACCAAGGCTGACCTGTATGTAATATTTAAGTAGATATATATTATTAGGAGCTGAACTTTATCGACTACATATACATAGACCAGGAGTAACCTGACATTGAGAGTGACGCAGCTGGAGTTGAGTCACAACACCGCTAAAAAGATTCCATTTATAGTATCTCCTCAGTTTCAAGACACTCTCCTTGATGTGAAGCCAAATCTCGAGGTCCTTGGCGTTGATATATCCAGTGACGTTCAGTTTTGCGGTCATTTGGAGGACAAGGCTAAAATAGCCTCAAAAAAGCTTGGTGTGCTCAGTAGAGTGAGACGGTATTTCACGGCGGCCCATCGCTTGCAATTATACAATGCGCAGATCCGGCCGCACATGGAATACTGTTCTCACCTCTGGGCGGGAGCACCACAATACCAGTTACTTCGTTTGACCGCATTCAGAACCGAGCAGCCAGAATCATTGGTAATCAACGTCTATGTGACAGACTCGACCCATTGGCTTTGCGGCGTGATATTGCATCTCTGTGCATTTTCTACCGCATATATCACGGAGAGTGTTCTGAGGAATTGTTCGGATTAATACCAGCTGCTGAGTTTCACCACCGTACCACCCGCCAGAAACTGAAATACCATCCTGATCATCTGGATGAATAGCGGTCTTCCACAGTGCGGTTTTCTAGAAACTTTTTGCCTCGCACAACCGCATTGTGGAATCACCTTATAGCAATGGTATTTCTGAACCGATACGATATTGAAACCTTCAAGAAAAGAGCTTATTCCTTTTTAAAAGGCCGACAACGTACTTGCAATTCCCCTGGTGTTGCGGGTGCTCATGGGCGGCGGTAATCACTTACCATCAGGTGAGCCGCATGCTCGTTTGTCCTTGTGTTATAAAAAAAAAACAACGCGAGTTTCAAGGCATTCGTTCAAGTTCAAGCCCTAATATCGGGCTACTCGAACAAATACTCCAATAGACTACTGCTATTGAGTAAAAACAACATATACATCATGACTAGGACCCTTACAGGACACTGCAGATTAAACAAACATATAACCTAGGCATGTCCCCAACAAAAATCTGCAGATTTTGCCAAACTGACGAGGAAACGCCACTACACATCTTATGTGTTTGTAGCCCACTCATGCACAAAAGAAATATCTCCTTTGGAAAGTTTACACTCTATCCTGAGGAGATAAAAACTATCGCTCCTATGAATATCCTTCAATTCTTGTCCCTGACGGGTCTAGGTAGCGAACTTTGAAAAAGGGCGAGCACAATAGGTCGTAGTACTACAGGTCCAATCACCTGACAATAGCCTAAACAATCCAATAAAAAAAAAGACATTGGTGGCCCGAGTCCCCACCAACTTGCTGCCCACCTTCATGAAGGAGGGCTACTGTCAGAAGGGTGTGGTGTATCGGCGCTACCGTAGCAGATTGCCGTCGTCAGTGCCGTGACCATAGACTATTTACATTTATACTTATTTATGATGATGCCGACAGCCACCTTTTACCACCGCACCGCTCGCCATCGACAGGGAATTCATCCCCACACACTGGAACCTATGTGGTCCCGAACAGGGCGGTTTCAGAGGAGCTTCCTCCCGCGTACACTTAGATTGTGGAATGAACTTCCTGCCGAGGTTTTCCCACGAGACTACAGCATGGGGTTTTTCAAGAAGGGTATATTAAGGTTTCTTAAGGGTCGGCAACGCGCACGTGATACCCCTGGTGTTTCAGGCGTTCATAGGCTACGGTAACCATTTACCATTAGATGGGCCGTATGCTTGATTGCCACCATAGTAGTAAAAAAAAAACAACATATTTATTAGTGGGCTGATGATAATGATGATTCAAAATTCAAAATATCTTTTTTCATATAGGTCTATTACAGACTCTTATGATAGTCAAATCTACCGTCAGTTCGAAATAGTTTCGAGTAAAGAACTGACAAGAAACTCACCTCGTATTCTTTTCAAATAAATATTATACATAATTACAATAATACAGATTCATTTTTAAATTCAAATTTGGGAGAATAGAGTGACAACCAGCATATGCTGCAAAAGCAAATAGTCAAAACAGTGTTCGTAACCCGAACAGACCAGTCCCCACAAGCAGCACCCGAGTATGGCGGATAGTATATGGATCAACTTGCGGTCTAATATACATTACTATTATATTATGAGTATTAAAAACATACATCATTTCAAATCTACATACGCAGTACATGACTCACAATGAGGAAAATCCTCGACAGTTCACAATATATGGTCAAATATAGACCGCACGACCTTATTCGATATCTGCGACCTCTCATTATCAATCTGTTCGCAGTATTCGATACACGTATTAAAATCTATTACAATGAAGTTAACTATAATATTTTTAATCATTTGTACGTCGCTTTATTATGTTTGTGGATCGAATTTTGTTGTGGGAAATGTTGCAAACAGAGTGTCTGTTGCTAGCCACGAATTAGTTGAGTACAACGCAATACCGTTTATGAAGAGGGTGAAATATTACTTCTACAATCTGCCTGGCTCTCAGAAGATTGAGGTATGTACCTAGAATTTTATCTGGCTAATATTAATGCAAAAGTTTTTATGGACAGATTGTTTGTTTGTTCTCACGCAAAAAGTACTGAACGCATTTTATTTATTTATTTATTGAAAACTTTATTGAGTGCACTTACTTGGTTTCAGCCCTTAACTGTATACGCTATAAACCGTAAAAAGCCAGCAAAAACTGAGTTAAAGAGATATAATAATATTAATAATAATAACTGTGTGCGACTGGTGTTATATCCTTTTCACCTATTTCGAGAAATTTTCGGACTGTACGACAGGTATTTAAGATGGCAGCCTTTTGAAGGGTGATGTAAAGTGTTTTTTGTATATTTAATTGTTTCAGACTATGATGTAGGTGATTAGGTATGATACCTGTAGATGAGGACTATGGAGGACTACGGGTATTATAATAATAATAATAATTCACTGTCATACTTCTTCAAAAACCTGTACCTAATACTGAACTCCTGTAGAATAGTCCTCAAATAAACGTAACAATAGTTGGGACTATTGTTACGTTTTGTAAGTGCCAGTTTTTGTAAGTGATCTATCAACGCACAGCCTAAACCACTGGACGGATCGGGCTGAAATTTGCCATGCAAGTAGATGTTATGACGTAGGCATCCGCTAAGAAAGGATTTTGATTAATTCTATCCCCAAGGGGATGAAAGTTTGTATGAAACTTTGTCAATTTTAAACCGATCGGGCTGAGACTTTGCACGCATAAAGCTACTATGACGTAGGCATCCCCTAAGTAAGGATTTTGATAAATTCTATTAAAGCTAAGGGGACAAATTAACGCAAGCGTATATGTAGTTATTTATTCATATGTATATCTTTATGTGTATCATTTAATATATTTATATTTGCAATGCCAACAATTATTCTCTGCACCACTCATGGTTGTCTGGTAGATAATACCGCATGGTGTTAAGTCCGCCATATGTATTTTTAAATTATGTGCATTAAAGTTTTAATAAATAAATAATAATAATACACAGCGGCATCTAGATTCAAGCTAAGCTGAACGCTCTAATAATAATGATGAATAATGGTAATGAACACGAAATCTAAATATATATAACTCAAAGGTGACTGACGTAGTGATCTATCAACGCACAGCCCAAACCACTGGACGGATCGGGCTGAAATTTGCCATGCAGGTAGATGTTTTGACGTAGGCATCCGCTAATAAAGGATTTTGAATAATTCTATCCCCAAGGGGATGAAAGTTTGTATGAAACTTTGTCAATTTTAAACCGATCGGGCTGAGACTTTGCACGCATAAAGCTACTATGACGTAGGCATCCCCTAAGTAAGGATTTTGATAAATTCCACCTCTAAGGGGATAAATTAACGCAAGCGTATATGTAGTTATTTATTCATATGTATATCTTTATGTGTATCATTTAATATATTTATATTTGCAACGCCAACAATTATTCTCTGCACCACTCATGGTTGCCTGGTACATAACGCCGCATGGTGTTAAGTATTTTTAAATTATGTGCATTAAAGTTTTAATAAATAAATAATAATAATAATACACAGCGCCATCTAGATTAAAGCTAAGCTGAACGCCCTAATAATAATGATGAATACTGGTAGTGAACACGAAATCTAAATATATATAACTCAAAAGTGACTGACGTAGTGATCTATCAACGCACAGCCCAAACCACTACACGGATCGGGCTGAAATTTGGCATGCAGGTAGATGTTATGACGTAGGCATCCACTAAGAAAGGATTTTAATTAATTCTACCCCCAAAGGGATAAAATAGGGGATGAAAGTTTGTGTGAAACTTTGTCAATTTTAAAACGATCGGGCTGAGACTTTGCATGCATAAAGATACTATGACGTAGACATCCCCTAAGTAAGGATTTTGATAAATTCCACCCCTAAGGGGATAAATTTCCGTATTCTTCCCCTAAGGGGAAGGTACTATGATACTATTGATATACACCCCTAAGGGGATCAATTAACGCGAGCGAAGCCGCGGGCAAAAGATAGTCGTTGATATAATTTGGATAATTTTATTTTGTTTTTCTTTATCTACAGGGCATACAAGCACTGGACAATCTACACAGCAAAGCAAGCATCAACATAACAGCAGGCGGTGTGGGACATCCGTTTGTTAATTTGCGGATGAAGAGTGAAAGAGGTCGCGGTATAAGCTATGACATCGGCATATATATTAAGAACTTTATTTAATATTTAAATGAAACACCAATATAATAATAATAATAATGAAATAAAAAAAAACATAAGGTATTATACCAAGCAGTCTTAGTAAACACCTTGACACGTTGCAAATCCCCTCCTCTGTAATAAATTATATTGAAAATACATTTGTATTTAATTACTAGCTGTATCCGCGACTTCGTACGCGTGGAATTTGACTTTATTTTCTAAAATAAAGTAGCCTAAGTTACTCCTTATTACATCAATTTATATTAAACTACTAGCTGTGCCCGTCCGCGTGGAATTTAACTTTATTTTTTTTAATAAAAGTAGCTTAAGTTTCTCCTTATTACATTAGCTAACTGCAAATAAAAGTCCCGTTAAAATCGGTCCAGCCATTTCAGAGATTAGCCGGAACAAACAGACAGATAAACAAAATTGTAAAAAATGTTATTTGGGCGTATGTACCGTATTTATATTCATATGTAGTAAAAAACAGTTATTTCAATATTACAAAGAAACACTCCAATTTTATTTATATGTATAGATAATAACCGCATCAAATTTAAAACACTATATTAAGAAAACTGTTAATAGAAAGAATGCTCACATAATGGAATAACATTTTTGTACAACGAAGATACAATACCTCCCCCCTCCGACTAATCCGCATCCAATTCTAATGGAGATCGAAATTACGACGGCCTAAGTCGAGGTTCGAATCCCTAGCGGTGCCCTAAGACTAAAGTCGTATCCGTCTGACGGGAGTTGGCCTTCAGCCGCTCCATAAGTCGTTCCTTTGGTTTGGAGTGCCATCTGCACTCGCCCCCTATCGTCCGGTGAAGCTGTAAAGGCCAGCTGCGGCCAATAGCATTAGAGTAGTCCGAAAAAAAAATTTGTACTAGCTACTCGCCCGGGATTCAGAATAGAATAGAATAGAAAATAATTTATTCAAATAAACTTACATTGAAGTACTTTTGAATAGTCATCACATTTTTTTTAATCTACCGCTCATGCGGAAAGCTGTCTCATCACAAGAAGAACGAGCATAAGGATTCGACCCTTATTGGTGTCGTCAGCCTCGTATCCATCAGGCGGGAGTTGCCCTTCAGTCTCTACATAAGTCCTTCCTTTGGTTTGGAGTGCCATCTGCACTCGCCCCCTATCGACTGATGAAGCTGTAAAGGCCAGCTGCGGCCAACAGCATTAGAGTAGTCCGAAAAAAAAACCCTGTGTTCTGAAGCCAAAGACATCTGTAATAAAAAAAATAGATTTACTAGAAGCATTGTTAACATATATTTAAGGTTACAACAATAATAGAATCTTTAACATGTTAATCGCCATTTCAGTCAGATGTGTCTGATGCTAAGTTCTACTTGACCGTGTCAGACATATATGTCTGACGGTATAAAGCCACGGCAATCCTAGATGTCTGACGCAGACAATACATCTGCATTATGTTTCGAAAGCTTGGCCTATCAGGAACAAAACCTGAAAATATCTTGGCTACAAACAATAAACTTAAATAAATGAACGTCAGACATATAATATTGATTCGGCTTGTCGAGAAAAAAAAATATAGGCCCGTAAGTCATATATGTGTGACATAAAAAATAGAGTTATTACGGGAATTTTGGCAAAAAAAAAATTCTGTGTACCACAGAAATTTTTTTTTTATTTATTTTTAATTTTTTTAAGTTTCTTTGATATATTTTTAACTAAATTATCTAATAAAGTTATTTTTTTCTAATATTATTGTGGCGATTAATGTGTTAAAATCCTAGCTCAATTAATTTCTGAGATTACAACGAAAATTTCATCTGTCGGAATTATGTATTGAAAAATATTTAAATGGAAGTCTTGCCTTTTACTGTATAAAGCAAATAAAAATATATTATATCTGTTATAATTGGGGTGTCTTTTTATTTTTCTTTTCGATAAAATTTACTTATTATATGGATGTTTAATTTATAAAGGTCTGACTTATAACAATAATAATAATTCATATAGCGCCATCTAGTCTTAAGATTGTATTATGGGTACTAAACAACTGATAGAAATAGAAATAATCTTTATTCAAATAAACTCAATATAAGCACTTATTCAAAAGTGCTTATATTGAGTTTATTTCATATTTTTTATTCTACCACTCATTCGGAATGCAGATTCGTACGCAGAGCGGCTTATATATCCTACATGAATAAATAATTTTTGAATTTGAATTTGAATTCAACACAAGAAGAGCGAGCAAGAAACTTGTGTGTTGCTCTTTTGAATAGATATTATACTAATAATTACAGAATAACAAGTAAGAGGCATGCGATAATCAACATAGAAACCGCTACGCACTCATTCCTAGTGCAATCAGATAATATTGCAGGAGTTAGTGCAATCAGGTAATATTATACTTAAATACATTTTTCTTTTGTACCTAAATACATATTTAATACACATAGGAAACATCCACATCAATACAACATACATACAACATTCGTACTCATGAGTACAAATGTTTGCACCGTGCGAGGAATTGAACCTACGACCATTGAACGTTAACCTAGACCACCTATGCCGTGTCAAAATTGCGTTCACATGGACCATTAAAATTAACCATCAAAGTTCAAATTTTATTTATTTCCTATAAAAATTGCTTTCGAGAAAGTCCGGGGCGGCTTGCTAGTATTAATAAATCCAGTAAATGTCATATCTATACATATAAATAAAATTGGAGTGTCTGTTTGTAATATTGAAATCACCGTTTTTTACTACATGCATATGAATATAATATTGTTACAATTTTTGTCGGTCTGTGTGTTCCGGCTAATCTCTGAAATGGAAGTACCGATTTTGACGGAACTTTTATTGGCAGGTAACTGATGTAATAAGGAGTAACTTAGGCTACTTTTATTTTAGAAAAATTAAGTTAAATTCCACGCGGCCGTAGTCGCGGGAACAGCTAGTAATATTATAAGAAAGCACATTAAAACGTCCGCCATGACATCCCGCACAAACTCTGACAGTTGGTTACACTGTGGCAGTCTGAAACTTTTTTAATGAATATAATTATAAATTTAATTAGATCAAGACGCATACACGTCCATTGTAATAATTAATATTATATCTGATTAATGAAGTACATAAAATTGTATATATTAAAGCTAATCTGTATGTACGACCGAAATAGACTGCGTAAAGATTGCGTGAGTAACACTGTCCAACTCCTGCTTCCTAGTTTTAAGGTAGAATAGAATAGAATAGAAAATCATTTATTCAATTAAACTTAATTTAAGCACTTTTGAATAGTCATAACAATTTGTTTTTTATCTACCACTCGTTCGGAAAGCTGTCTCATCACAAGAAGAACGAGCGAGAAACTTGTGTGTTGCTCTTTTAAATAATCCTTGTAAGTTTACATTTACAAGTCGAAACGTGTGAATACAAACTACCAACAAGCACTAATTTTTTGGGTCAAATATAAATATGCAATAAGATTAAATCAGTCGTAGTGATAAGGTAGTGGATGTAATATTGTGTTATCTGTGGTAGTGGCATTGTCCGCGTTATCAAGCTCAACGGCGGATCCAGGGGGGGGGTCATGGGGGTCATGACCCCCAGAGCCCAGGACTTATGTGGACCACTAATTGAACATAATGATTTTATTTATATATTTTGTCACCATACAGATTTTATGTAACTACATACCTTCAATATTTAATTAATTATATTTAACTAGTGCTTCTCTGGATGTCTTCAAGAGATGGCAATATGTACAAGTTATTAAGTGTTAAGTTTTTCAAATGTACAATAAAGAATAAATATTTTTAAGTACAGTACTTACGTACATTAATAAAATACCTACTTTTTACTTGTATCTATTGTTATCAAAATTAAATTATAAGTTCTTGACTTGACCACGACTATGTGACCCCCTGGCGCCTAAGCTGAATCCGCCGTTGATCAAGTTGTAAAAGCATATAATAATTTGCCTATAGATTTGAAGGACATTAGAAGTTTATCACTATCTATACATATAAATAAAAATGTAATGTCTATTATGTCTAATTAAAAAAAAATGTACTTGTGTACTTTAATATTGTTTATAATATTAAAGTACACAAGTACATTTTTTTTAAATGCAACAAATAAAACATATATATGTCAATTTATTAATTCAACAATTATGCATGTTATTTTTTCTTTTATGATGCAATTAAATAAAACATAGATACAATTAATTTATTAATTAAAGAAACATATTTATATATCTATACATAAAAATAAACTTGGAGTGTCTGTTTGTAATATGGAAATAACCGTTTTTTACTTCATGCATATGAATATAAATACGGTACATACACCGAAATAATTTTTTTTACAAATTTTGTCTGTGTAATTTAACTTTGTTATTTTTATATTAAAGAATTTTTCTAAAGTAAAGGTAGTCTAAGTTACTCCTTATTAGATCAGCTACCTGCCAATAAAAGTTCCGTCAAAATCGGTCCAGCCATTTCAGAGATTAGCCGGAACAAACAGACTGACAGACACACGAAAATTGTAAAAAAAATTATTTTGGCGTATGTACTGTATTTATTTTCATATGAATGTAGTAAAAACGGTTAGTTCAATATTACAAACAGACACTCCAATTTTATTTATATGTATAGATATGTATAGATAAAATACGTCTATCATTCCCTCGCAAATATAAAAAACGAATACACTAAATTCAAATTGATGACGACCTCGGTGGTCTAGCGGTCAAGCACACCGCTTTACGACCGATGGTCGCGGGTTCGATTCCTCGCACGGCACAAACATTTGTATTTATGAGTATGATTGTTTGTATCGGTCTGGGTGTTTTCTATGTATAATATGTATGTATTTACAAAAAAAAAATATCTATGTATATGTATCAGTTATCTAGTACCCATAACACAAGCTCTAGTTAGCTTAACTTGGGTCTAGATGGCGCTGTGTGAATTGTCAAAAAAAAAAAAATTCCATTTTTTTCCCTACCGTCCAGTTCTGTATATAGATCCAATTGAGAAGAACTGACAAGAAACTCAATTGAATTTCTTTTTTTTAAAGTCAGTTTATTTACAATGTATATTTATATAGGTGTCTATGTCTAACATTAAATGAAAATCCCGAACATGAACAACTATTGCCATGCACGCTCGTCATTCAAGTAATCGTTTAGTGAGTAACAGGCTATGATTTAACTAAAAGAAAAGCTCCTTTTTGAAATCGTTAAGAACTTTCTCGAGAGGACAAGGATGTTATACAAAAGACTGATTAAAATGTAATATTCTTATATTGGAATTGAACTTGGTACCTATTTACTAAGGTTTCGTATGACCACTGCGACTATTGCAAATTTTAATTAAATATAAATACATAAGTAGCTGATAGGTAGTTTCCTTTGAAGTAAGTACATATAGAGATATATAAGAGCTAT